AGGTCAGCAGTACAGTTCTCATTGTTTTATTGTCTGTTTTATCTCTGACTGGGATTTCTGTGCAGTAATGAATGTCTCCTTCTTCTCTCTCTTTTGTAGCCGAATTGTCCTGCCCATTTCAGTGGAGGAGGTAAGGTCTCATTTTATCAGGAACAGTCAATTAACAACAACTAACATCAATGTAATGTCAGACGGTAAGTCAGACTGATTCTGTAAATAGTTCAGTGGTGCAGAGTGGAAACTGTGCTGGAATAGATATTGATTAGTTACCTTATATGATATATAGCTAAACCTTATATAGGTAAGTGGATATATCTTTATACAGCATGTACAGTGTGCTTAGGTTTATATTTGACAATGATGATGTGTATTTAAACTATAATATATATACCATTTATAATTTATAGGTATGTTTAGTATTATGGGGTTGTTGCACAGAGATTGTTTCTGAGACTGTTCGTCAGAGTGACAGCCTGTGGAAAGAAACTATTCTTGTGCCTGTCGTTTTTACGTAGATTGCTCTGTAGCGTGAGGCTGGAACAGGTTGTATGCAGGGTGTGATGAGTCAGCATTGATTTTCCTGCAGTCCCGACTGTCTGGGAGGTTAGTCTTTGGACTCCCACTTTAGCTCCTGGGAGATTGTGGATCCCAGAAACCTGAAGCAGACACAGTGTTGTTGATGGACTCCTCCTGAAGTCCACTGTCAGCTCCACAGTTTTAAGCGTGTTCAGCTCCAGGTTGTTCTGACAGCAGAACTGCACCAGTTATCCCACCCTGATGTCTGCATGCAGACTCATCACCATCCCGGATGAAGCTGATGAACGCTTTGTCGTCTGCAAACTTCGGGAGTTTAACAGACGGGCGTCCTGAGGTGAAGTCATTAGTGTAGAGGGAGAGCAGTGGGTGAGAGCGCCAGTGCTGATTGTCCAGGTGCTGGATGGGATGTTCCCCAGCCTCACCTGCTGCCTCTGGTCTGGAGGTCAGCACAGTAAGCAAAGGACGTCTGGGGTGAATGCCGAACTCAAGTCCACATATGGGTTCCTTCTGGGACGTCAGGGTTACGGGCCTGTAGTCATTGAAACCTGTGGGTTTCTTGTGGACTGGGACTGTGTGAGAGGACTTCACACAACTATACTACTAACTATATTTGGGTATCTATTCTTCTATTATTATTTTTCACTCAGTAACTACTCTTTAGTTTTCCTCGGTAGAACGCTGTTTAAAATTCTCCAGGCTGCAACATATTTCCGTTATCACCATGCATCTGATCTCACTGCCTTTAGAGATGATTAAAGGCAAAACAGAGCAGCCGGGATATTACACATACTACACTAAGTGGCTTCCGCTGAGTACACGATGTGCCCAGTCGTGTTGTTGGAGTTGGCCTCTCTCAGCACTGTCACTTTGGGCTACCTTTAGATGCCCTTGCAGTTGAAACACTTAGTTATCAGGCCCAGAATGTATTTAGCTGTGTTTAATCTACTATACCAGCAGCTTCAGCCTCTTAACCTTTTCCCTGCAATAGATTTGCTCTTTATGGAAGAACATTTTATTAACCTTCCCCATTGCACTTGTATGTAAACTCTTTCCTTTTTTATTACCTAAATGCTCTTGGCTCATTCTAGGTTTCAATCCAAATGTTCCATACAACAACATGCTCTTTGTTTTTCCGTTGCTTAACACAAAGCAGAAGCCAGTATTTCACTGAGCCACGTAATCACAGTTTGCTGTATGACCGGCTTTCCCTCTGATCCCTTTAGTGTGAGGAATTAGCTGGATTGTTAGTTGAGTAACTGTCACAATTACAAGAGCTTGAGTTGTATTATGGAAATGGGGGTGGGTACAGGCAATCAAAACTACAGTTTTTTGTTATGTAAGCTATGGAATTATATTGCATTTTTATTACTTTAAGTGAGTTTCAGGTAGATTCTTTATAATATATCCATGGTATCAAATGTACCTTTTTAAAAACACGACAATATGGAAATTTAGGTTGGTGGAGAAGCAAACCTTGTCTTATGTGCAATATTTTATAGAGATGAAACAATTAGTTGATCAGTCACTAGTAATTTAACCACACAGTTGAAATAGTGGAAGCGAATTATTTGTACTAATTTGGGGGAAATGCACTTCTTCGCGAACTTGAGTCAGGCTAGTTGTTTCCCCATGTTTCCAGTCTTTGTGCTAAGCTAAGCTAATCAGATGCTGGCTACATCTCTCAGCAAAAAAAAAACAACAAGTGCATTTCACAAAATTGCTTATGTTTTAGGTTTAAAAAACACAAGTTACATCTATTCATATGTCAATATTTGTTGGTTTCCTCAGTCTTCTATGATAATAAACTGAATATTCTGGGTTTCTGGTTTCTAAATCTAAACAAGCAGGTCGAGCCCCAAAAACACTACCTCATCCAACACTTCCCATAATGCTACTTAATGGCATCTTGTATTAGACCGGACTTGTCTGGTAAATGCCCATGTCCTCTGAACTCCACCCCAGTTTTAATTACTGGTGACATCATCAGGGTTCAGTTTTCAAACTTAATTAAGCTTCTCCAGGTCCACACAAGATATTATAAATGAAACAGTTTTCACTGGCCCAGTAGTACTCCTCATGATGGAAAACTGAGCTTAATGTTTAAAATTGGTGGAGTGCTCCTTAAATTAGGAAACTAATAGATATAATCTGTTCTGTTCACAGTCAGCTGTAATGTAACAGAATACATTCATTTTGTATTCACGTTTAGACTATATAATGACATTACACTTTCATTGTATTTAGTTACTATGCAGCTCTGTAGTTTGTGGACAGTGGTGGCTTTAAACAAGTTTCAACAACACTTGGAAGATGCTGCTGCTCCGAGGGGTCAAGTCATTCTGACGGTTACTCGCATTAGAATGTAACCCAGTGTGGTTATTATGAAGCTATAAAACCACTCATGGTCCAAACCTTTGTCAGCATATGGCATTATGTGAACCAACAGGTTCACTCTTTATTGCCAAACTTCCAAACAGAGCACTTTGCCTCAACATGTTTTTTTCCAGTGTTGATGACCACCTCCAGTCAAGTTGGTTGTTTTTTAAAGCTGAATGTTGTGTTGCCGCCCCTGAGCTGCTCACAAAGGCCTGCATTACGTCTGCCTGTCCTTTTCAATGAGAAGACACACTGGTTGTACACGACAAGTCACATTCCTGAGTTCCTACTCACAGTGGCGAGGCTGAGCATCCAAGGCTACCAAAATAGGTCACTAGCCTTAAGCTCTTCGGGGAGAAGAGGGTTTGATTCAACTACAAAACCTTCGTCCAATTAAACTACAGATGGCAGCAGATTTGTAATCACTGCTCTCAATAACTGTCACTCATATTTATAAACATTTAATACTCATATTGAAGAGATGAAGATACATCTATTTCTCTTCCACATACTTTATGGGACCAAAATGCAACTACAACGTTCATGTTTGACCATATCACTGGTTTTACTGGTTTTTCCTGGGTTTTTTTTGTAGTCATTTTACACATTTTAGCCATAACTTCATGAAGGTTTTTTTGTGTGTGTCTGTGGCGCGGCTGACAGCACCAGTGATGTGAGTCACTCTTTCCAGTGTCACAACACTTTTGCCTGACTCAGGAAGGGTTTGAACTATGGGGGTTGGAGGAGGAAGAAGAAGAGGAAGAGAGACAAAAAGGCTTACTCTGCTGGTTTTCCCATGCTGAGGTCTGTGTCTGGGATACCTAGAGGGAAATGGTGAACTCGCAGTCATATCCATGAATGGTTGACTGAGGTCATGACAGAATGATTCTCAGCTCAGGTCGTTGAACTCGTCTTTCCATTCTGTTGTCTCTCGAGTTGTTATTGTAGTATTTTCTTATTTAATTTGGCCAGTTATATAGTAGTGTAACTGTTAATTAATGTACTAATACCTAGGAACTATGGTGAAACACCCAACAGGAAAAATCCCCTTAATCCCATTTTTCAAAGATTTAGCTGCTTAGTGTGCTAGTTTGTCACAAGCCCCTATTTAAGTCTGGTAAATTAGTTTACCAAGTAGATATGATGTTCTCAAGAAGGGTTTATTGGTCAGTGTGTGAAAATGTTGTGGTGATTTTCAAACTGAAAAGTCAAAATGTCTGATGTGGAAAAGGTCTATAACACAAACTGTCAGTAACAAGCATACCTTCAACGCGAGAGTGACGCTTGTCTCTAAAGGGCAATTCCTTCGAAACTCTCAGAATTGATGAGCTTTTTTCTGGAAATGTTCCTTTAATCCACCACATAAATGAATATGCTATTTTGGCTCTGAAACACATAATTAAGGGTAAAAAAGTTAACTGAATCCATTCTAATATAAATGTATCTGTAAACCACAATACCACGAATAACCACGATTTCCTCTTTTGTCCCTCCAGTACCAAGTGGGTCAGCTGTATGCAGTAGCAGAGGCCAGTAAGAATGAGACGGGTGGAGGAGAAGGTGTGGAGGTGATTGTCAACGAGCCCTATGAGAAGGATGGAGAGAAGGGACAATACACCCACAAGATCTACCACCTGCAGAGGTAGGCAGCTCGCAATTCAAACAGTTACGTAGTGCATACCACATACTACCTAGGAAGTAGCAGGATACACAGAAAGGATTGTATCATTAAATGTGCACGTCAAAGGTCACCACAGTTGAACTCGAAGCGAAACATTTGTGCAGATTTTATCGCCCTGCGAGCAAATTCAGTGTGATTTTTGTTGTGAGAGGTTTAAACGCTGTGTGACCAAGACCTTAACAGAATGCCAGATTGTACAGAGGGCATACTGTACTTACCCTCTATCAAACTGCAAACATCAAAGCACATTCTAGGATTATAGCGGAAATGCATTGATATGTTCCCTATGTTTCTGTAAGACTGTGTGTAAATGCATTCAGCCACAAAAATAGTAGTTTATAGCTTTTTGTGATTGTGCATGTGCGTGACTGCATCAATGCCTGTTTGTGTCTCTGCAGTAAAGTGCCAGGCTTTATCCGGGTGATAGCGCCGAAAGGTTCTCTCGAAGTTCACGAGAAGGCTTGGAATGCATATCCTTACTGTCGAACCAGTTAGTCCCACCACACACACACACACACACACACACACGCACACACACAATTTCACAAATGAAAAGCTTGATTCTTGAAATCTGGGTATTATCTAAATCCTTGTCTCTCCTCTTTCGGATCCATCCTCTTTCCATCACGGCCCACCTTTTCTTCTGACGCAGTCCTCACGGTAAACGTTCCTTCACTTTGAGTTTCCAAATAAAATGAAGTTACATTTTCTACATTTGTTTGGGAGTTTGTATTTGTATTCCTATCGTGTAGTGAGTAGAGTTAAACTAAATGAATTGTTCAGATGAGATGGTAACCATGTTAGACAAAAGGAGACTTCACACAGTAGCTCTGTGTGTGTGTGTGTGTGTGTGTGTTTGAGAGCGTGTGTGTGTGTGCGCGCTGGAGTGCATAATAAGCTCACATACTGTTGCTGACGTTTATGTGCGCAGATGAATCCACAGTACCTTTTCACAAACTGTAATGCAATCACTTTGAGTGTGATTGTTGAGCACAACAATATGATTGTTGACTGACCCTATCCTGTATCTCTCCCATGTGTACAGAATGAATACATGAAAGACAAGTTCATGATAAAGATTGAGACGTGGCACAAGCCGGATATGGGGGATCAGGAAAATGTAAGTCAATGTGATCTGTCAACAGTGCTAACCAATTGTGGTCACACTCTACCCACCATATGCATTAGGCACATACATTATATGTATAGTTACAAATACAACTGAAGAGTTGGACTTACTGTAAGAAATAAGCATTTGCGTGATGATACATAATATCATATGACTGAAAAGAGAGAAAATAATATTTAATTAATAAATAAATAAACAAATAAGGAAGAATTTAAAATGGTAATAAAAACAAAAAAAAATAAGTACATACATATATAAATAATATTGAGAGACAGAGAGGGGGAAAATGCTCATCTGTCTGTATCAATAGACCGACTGATGTGTTGTGTAAGCTGTCAGCCTATGCCTCATGCCAGCATTTGTGATTTATGATACTGGGCTAAAAAGGAGACCATACTTTATGAAATCTTTTCAGAGCCGAATGACTTTGTTGATGACTTTATCTGGTGCCATCATCAGGTCAACATTTGAATTTATCAACTACGTTGACCTTTGGCCTCACTAATGTCTACTAAGTCCACTTGGTGAAGAATTTGGGAACAAAATGGCCGATCCTCGCTCTGTGCTAAAACACATTACAAAGTTCAGCTGAAGCTAATGTGATTAAATCCTCTCCTTGTGTTTGCTGTGACTCCTAATCTTAGATTTACAACAACAGCTGAGTAACACCTCCCCAACAATCACTAGTATGAATTATCCTGCACTGGTCAAACCTACTTTTTGTTGAACTGTACTTATAAACATGAAGTCTGACATGTGTTCCTTTACCAAGCAACTGACCTACACTTTGCCTCGCTGCAGGTACATGGACTGGACCAAAGCACATGGGAAAAAACTGAAGTAGTTGACATCGACATTGGTGACAGAAGTGTCATAAGTCCAAATGTAAGGAAGAAAATTGATTCTACCCAACTGTTCCCAGTAATCCTTGAAACGATTTTACCAACAGCTTGGAATTGCTTTGAGTCACTCTTTATGTTTACTGGTTGCATTCATTCTTTAGGACTACAAACCAGAATACGATCCAGCCATATTTAAGTCCGAGAAGACGGGTAGAGGACCTCTGGGACCTGACTGGAAGGTATTACATCTCCTGTGGCTCTTCACTGTGGCTCACTTTATTAAAGACATCAAATAGTTGGGTTTAAAGGCCTGCAGACTTTGTGTTTTTCATCAGTGCCTCTATGTATTTGCAGAAAGAACTCGCTAACAACCCCGACTGTCCACACATGTGTGCCTATAAGCTAGCCACTGTTGAATTCAAGATGCTGGGACTACAGGGCAAAGTGGAAGGCTTCATTCATAAGGTATAAAATTGTTCTTTTTTTTATAGGCGAAAGTAAGATTTTTGATATATATTGCCTTTTGGTGGCCACTTTATGAAGTGTATTATGCTTTGAGTTGAAGTGCCGCACAATAGTAGACATGTACTACATATTACTTTTATATTTCTCCCTGTAACTCCTTCTTTCTTTCATGTGTCCAGGTGGAGAAGCGTTTGTTCACCCACTTCCACAGACAGCTGTTCTGCTGGCTGGACAGATGGATTGATCTGTCGATGGATGACATACGACGCATGGAGGAGGAGACGAAGAAGGAGCTGGATGAGGTGACTGAGCACAGTAGACTTTTACGCTGCACCCCTGTTACGGAGCAGATTATCTTAGTGTAGGGCTGGGCGATATGGCCTAAAAATTTTATCTCGGATTGTTTTCAAACCACATCCGATTTACAATTTTAATCGATTGTATTTTTTCCGTAAGTACAAAAGACACCATATCTTCGGTGATGTGAAACACCACCACATCTGTAATGTCTTCTGGCAACTTATTTACTTCTGGTACTTCCCTGGATAATACCGTCTAGTGTGACACCACTAACAATGACTTCAGTGCAAAACTATACAATTTAATTAACTCTTATCTCTATTAGAGTGTACCTAATAGTGGGTGTATGTCTCAATAAAGTACTGCCAATTACCACTACTGCACCACCACAACCCCCCCACAAACCAGAGACCAAGCACCGTTACATTTTTAAGTTTTAGGCTACATTCAGACTACAAACCATAGCTCTTTATCCTAATTTAAATAATCCAGCATGAACAAGTCACAGTCCTGAGGTGACCTGCATGAAGAATGTTTCTCTCGAGTGACGTAACAGTCATCGAGGTCACACGGCAAATTTTTGGGATCACATATGAAAGTGTTTTCAAATTAGAATTGGATTTAAAAAAAAAACAACAAAAAGAACAATCTGAGTCACATATGAGCAAAAACAATCTGATTTGGTGAAGTGAATAACACTAATTATCTGGTAATTATGGCTCCTGTCAGTGGGTGGGATATATCAGGCAGCAAGTGAACATCTTGTCAAGTTGATGTGTTAGAAGCAGAAAAAAAGGGCAGCTGTAGCTCAAACTCAAACTGCTGGTTCTGATAGAAAGGGGTCAGAACACACAGTGCATTACAGTTTGTTGGTGTGGGGCTCCTGATCGGTGTATATAGCCCCAGATCAATATACATATACAACTATGCAAACATAGAGGTGGGCTTGCCCTGCTCCACTACAACCCAGATAAAAGGCTGGTGTGTGGATACAATCCAGATTATTCAACTAAATGAAAGATTGAGAATTAATGTAATTTGATTTACTGACACAGTCTATACTTGGTCATTATTAGCACCAGGATTATTGTCTACATAAACCAAACCAATGAGCCAATGTTTCACCTTGAGAATTATGCAAGAATACAACAAATGGGTGTCCATATTACTTTAAAAAATAACTTAAGAAAAACATTAACTATCTCGTTAAAACAAGAATTTTCCTATTATTATAATAAGAAACTGAGCCAATACTTTAGTCAGGGCTGCAATAAGTCGCCGCAGTCTTTGTAATATTTATCATTGTCGTTCTGCCCCAACAGCGATGTTTGTGCTAAATGTAAGAAATCAGGTATTTTTGTATCCTCCTGAGTAACATGTGTCTCTCCATGTCCTAGATGAGGAAGAATGATGAAGTTAAAGGCCTGGCAGTCGACTAACCCAGTGAGTATTAAACTATTGTTTTGGTGAGATTTATTATTCGTAAATTAACTTTAACACTTAACTTGTTCTGTCTTCACCTCACAGGAGGCTCAGACTCATGTCCTGGGACACTGGACCTAGAACAACTTGATAGGCATAATCAAGAATACCACACCTCCATCCCAATAAAATTTGCTCTTAATAAGAGCTCATTATTGTAAAGAAGTTGTGTGTATTTGTGAACTACATTTGAATACAACTATAGCAGCTTTTAGTTTTTTGTTTTGTTTTGTTTTTTAAGAGTCAAGTTGGAAAATCAGTTTTGAAGCGTTCATGTTTATGTCTATTTGGTGCTCTTCAATTTTAAAACATCACAGGGAGGGTATAGGTTGTCTCTGAAGAAACATTTCTGATTACTGTTATCCTTTTTTTAATGGAAGTTATTTGGGTTTCTGTTCTTTTTCTTGATTCTATATTTTCCAGTTCGCAGTGATTCATTGTTTACTTAACAGAGCAAGGCACATTTTTCACAGGTCTCGTGTCTTCTACATTTGCAAAAGCTCCAGTTACTAGGACCTTACAAGTTTTTTTTAAATAATTGAATAAAATAAAATAGGCTTCTGTGCTTTTGAGAAAGTTCTGTTAATTTCTTGATCTCACAAAATGCATTTGTACCTATGTTTTGTCAAACTGGAAATTCCTCCACCCTCTTGTGCTGTACAGTTTACATATGAGGTATTTACTTTGAAAAGACTCCATCAGGGACATTAAATATATTTTCAGCTAGTCTGGTCTGACTGCACCTGCTGTTGGTCAGTTGGTCGGTTTAGTTTCCTACAAAGATGCCAGCTGCTGTTTTTATAGTAATCTTAATACCGGTATAGTAATTATATCGTTGGGTTGGGGTTTTGAGTGTTGGTGACGATAATATGCAAGAAGAACTTAAAAAAAATGATGGACACATGAAGCAATTCTGTCTTGATAACTTTTAAAAGGTTTGGGCTACTATTGTAAGTCTTGTCCTGTGTTGAACCTGGATTTTATGTAATGAGTCATATGATCGTGTAGCATATTAAAGACAATGTAATTTTTGCTTGCTTTGTGTGTATTTTTGCATTGTACTTCTGCTGGAAAACTATGTAAGTGAGCAAATATCCATCCACCTGTAGTTCTGCAGACTGGAAAAGACCCCATTGTAAGTTGCAGTCACAAATTATCACTTGAATCAGAAAAAATGTCCAGGATCCAAAATGCTCACATAAAGCCATGTTTTTTTTCTGCTTTAGAAAATGTGGAGTATTTATGTAGTTGTGTTTTTTTCATGGGTGAATTGGTCTATTTTAAGCAGATGCATTATTAGCCTTAATATCAGCACTTAATTAAGTTTCAATCCTTCAGAATAAGAGCATATCCACAAGCGTTAACAGACTGAAGCCGCCAAATTTCGCCCCCTTGTTTTTTTCTTCTCCTCAAGCTAACATGAATCCGTAGCTATGTTAAAAACAAATGTTTCAGGTCAGGCATACAGAAAAATGTATATTAATTCAAGACCAAAGTGTTCACTATAAAATTCCTCGTTCTTTACAGACAAACTAACGTTATATGTGAAGGCATAGTCACAGAATATGGATAGATAAACAATATATTAGATAAGGACTTTATAGAAAATGTAATTATAATAGGTGAGAGTTTTAACTAAGTGTGAACCGGCTTTTTCTTGTCCCAAATGTGACAAATTGTGCGCTTTTATTTTGAAGCAAATAACAGTTCTTCCGGATAAGGGGCGGGAACAACAACACAAGCTACTGTACTGTGCTGCTCTACTGTACGCCTCTCTGCAAGTGGACTCAACTAAAAAACTACTACCAAAGCCTGTCAGGTAGTATGCGATAAAACACCCTCAGTCATACATGTTGTTTGTTCGAGTGTGAAGTGTTTGATTAAATAATGCTTGTTTTAGCGTTGGCTAGCTGCGCAGTGTTACATTACCAGAGAGGACAGCTCTGAGATGTTAGCTATGTGCAGTTAGCTCGATAAAGTCAACCTTACAAAACATGCAATAAGCGAGTCTGCTAAAGCCAGAGATTAAATATGTCAGACACACTGTGTACTTCAGCCCTGTCCCAAAGTAACGTTAGGGGCTGAAGTTGTTAGTTGGTTAACAGGGCTTTAATAACTGTTAATGCACCTATAACGCGTTTACCTGTAGTGTAAGTTGTTGTGGATGTGCCTCGTTGCCCTCCAGGTGTGGGGATGATGGAGGAGAATGGAGAGCAGTCCGACGGCCAGCTGCCAGACCTCAGCCTGAGGAAGGGAGACTACGACGGAGACAGCTTCAGGTTGGACCATCGGTGCATCCGCGTTTGTCGAAAGTCAATTCTTCTTTAGCGTTTTGCAACAAATACACCCTCACTGACGAAAACTCTTAATTTACATTCCAGCATTAAAAGGGTGTTCAAGCAATATCAGACGTGTTGCCAATAAGCAGCAGCAGCAAAATGGCAGATTTATGAATGGACTTTGGCTTGAGACATTTACATTAATCAGACTCATCAGGATATGCACAACATCCAGCTACAGCACAGTTGGAGTTACACACAATATGCCTGTGAAATAGGAGTTTTTATAAGTATAATGAGCTTATGTACAAGTGGATAAATACTAGATCACACTACAATTCCTTTGCAAGTGTACTGTCACAGCCATAAAGTGGTTATTGCTCATAAAAGCGATGGCATGTGGTTAGAAACTGCTTCTGTGTTGCCAGTTTCAAATGATTTGTCAAGGAGTACTTCCTGGACGATGTTTAATTTGACTCCTGTGGTTTTTTTCTGCTATGCCAGTGGGAGATTGTAGCCTCTGGCTTTGTGCTGTTTGGTTGTAGAGCAGTACCAGACTGTTGAGGTGCAGGTGTTGACTGCTTAACCAAAAGCTCCCATTGCATTTAGTGATATATGCTAAATGTCTTCCTTCTGAAATGTAGGGGAACTGATTATAGTCATACCAATGAAATCAGTGTAATTAAAACAGTTAAGAAGCCCAATCACAAAGTGGGAACCATGTTATTATGATTGGGGGCTCAGGGTGATGGGAAGTGAAATAGAGACCAGGTTGTGTTTGGAATTATTTGTATAATACAAAAAGAAGAGTGATTTTTCAAGCTGCTCCAGATATCTCCCCATGGACACTATGTTGTGTTGTTCTTGTAGCCAGTTGCCTTCTTTAGACAGAGATGACATTGTCCAAGTTTAACCAGAAAGGCGGGCGTTACAGTGTCAACATTATTTCTCACTTCTTGTCTCTTCTATATATGGCCTTTAAGTTAACAGCTGCAGTTATTTCATTAGAGCTTTGGGATCAGTAGTTGACTAACTCTTTGTGTGGTTTGCCAGTCTACAAATCTGTCTGCATTCTGGCAGGTGGATTAGGTTGCTCAACAATACACACTTAATGCGGATTTGAAGAAAAAAACAACGTGTTGCCATCCTGCCTGAGGAAAGAGCAGCTGAGTGCTCAACCGCTTGCGAATGGAAAGAGTTTTTATGTTCACGCATGCAAGTTGGTTTCCCAATTTTTTTAATAGGCCTAATGTTGAAACATTTTACAATGCGATTATACGTAGTTTTTAGTACACAAAGAGGGCTTGTAGACAACTTAACCAATTCCCTAATTACTCTGATTCTGGAGCAGGTCCTTGAACCAGGACTTTCCTCACTTCACTCAGTGGTTTGATTTTGCAGAAGTAACCACAACGTCGGACTGTTCCTCATTTGATTCTTTTTATACAATCCAAACATACTTGAAATAGTCAAATTTGGATATTTTTTGTTCTACACTGCCAACTATTCTTGGTCTTTTAGGGAATACTTTATTCGCGTTTATATTTTGCAACTTCAACACTCTGGACAGCCGACCCTGCTGCATTTGAGACTTTGAGCCAGAATGGATGAAATCAGTCGGCTGCTAGGCACCATAGGGCGCGACCGCTCCAACAGTCTATGCAGTGATGACACCCAGTCGACAGGCAGCAAGCTGGCTCTGCGGCATCGGCTCAACCAGCTGATGACCTGCGTGGATGATTTGGACCCCAAAAATGAGCTGCATGACAAAGTGGTCAAAACCCTGGACAACGCTTTCCTCGTCTGTGGCAAGAGAGCCAACAAGCCGAAAAAGGACAGTTTCAGGTGTCACCTCTTCGCTTGTCTTGTCTGTGTGCTGAAGCTGGAAAGAGTTAGCATTTCTTTTTTTTTTTTACAAGAATAATGTTCCTCTCTCTCCTTTTTTATTCAGCTTTTTACTCTTTCCTCTGTTTTCTTTAACCTGCTTCATGGACTTTTCCCCTGTGGGCTCAATGAACTGCTCTATCACTGGCCAACAAAAGACTCTCTTGATTCTTGCTAACTGAAACCCTCCAGCTCAATGTTGTCCTTTGACTTTCTGTCATACATTTTACTGTTGTAGCTGAACACAGAAATCTCAAAATTATGGATGTGGCAAGTTTGGGTAAAAGGGATGACTGTTCTCTTTATGTGTGAACTGTAGCAGCCCGACCTGCTTGTGGTAGAAGCACAGTGCCTTTACTGTAGCAGCTTTTACAATTGGATGATGTGCTCATCTTGGGTTTTGCCACACTGAAACAAGCTCTTTGATTGTAAAGTTCAAAGTATAGCTTGGTTTCAGACGTGGTGTTTTTCAGTCACATGTATATTATACATACTGTATATTATTTGTTAGGTGCTACACACATTTTTTCCTTCTTCCATGCCCCCAGGCTACACATGGTGACGTGGAACGTGGCCACAGTGGATCCTCCTGATGACGTGTCCTTGCTTCTCCATCTGAACTCCCCAAAGAGCCCAGACCTCTACGTCATCGGGTAGGTGGTACAGGGAATGTGACTTGATTGATGCCGTCTGTGTTTCGTTGTGTGACTGACAGTTTGGAGAATTGTATGTGTCTGTGTTAGTTTGCAGGAAGTGTACTCAGGGCCATTGAGATTCCTGTCGGACACTGTATTTGATGACCCATGGAGTCATATGTTCATGTCCACCTTGGCACCACGGAAATACGTTAAGGTACAAATCTTCTAAAACCACCCCCATACACGTGCAGACACACATTAGAGGTGACACCCAATTTCAATGTTAACGAGTCTAAAGTCAAAAGTGTCATTTTTTTCTTATCAGTAACTGAGAATCCTTGATGGTTAGTATTACGTTGTGCAGTATTTACTTTGTGTGGGTGTATTTCAGGTGTCATCCATTAGAATGCAGGGTCTGCTGCTGCTCTTCTTCTCCAAAATGGAGCACGTCCCCTTCATCAGGGACATCCAGGCCCAGTACACACGCACCGGCATTTTCGGTTACTGGGTGAGAAATACACACATACACATTAATGGAGTACTAGAGATTTAACATTGCACTCATTCTACAGACTCTTCTTCCTTGCCAATACCTGCTGCCTCCATTACCCAAAATGTCACTCAACTACCAACAGTTTGGTTAGGGAACGGGCTATAGAGCTCACTTCTTTTAGATTTTTTAAATTTGAAGTATTTTTTCATTTCTTTCTGAAGCCACCTATATGGTTCCCCTTTCAGTAAGGGATGGAAAAACACATCCTGCTTGACTACAGAAGCAGAAGTAAATCTTTGACACCTTGCTGTTTGTTTTCTCAAAATGTCCAAAATAGCTCATGAATTCTTTCTGCACTTGTTATATGTTGATTATTTTGTCTTTTTTTCTGTTTTTAGTGTAAAAGCATAAAAACAAATACAGACACACGTTCTACAGGACTTATGCTTCCTCTGTTTCTTACGTCTTCCTGTTTGTCTCACAGGGTAACAAAGGTGGCGTGTCTATCCATCTGTCTTTCTATGGCCACCAGCTCTGTTTCCTGAACTGTCACTTGGCCGCTCATATGAAATACGCCACAGAGAGAGTGGATGAGTTTGAGTACATCATGGACACGCAGATCTTTGACTGCAAAAAGTCTCCAAGGATTGCTGACCACAGGTGAGTAGATGTGCAGAAAACAATTCTCCAGTTTACTCAGATATTTTAAAAATATGACATTCATCTCAGTGTATCTGTACCAAGTTAGTCAGTTTTTTCTCATATTATATTTCTCATTTCACTCTTGCTGTCCTTCCTCCTTCCTCTGTTCCCCGGTCCAGGCTGGTGTTCTGGTTTGGAGACCTCAACTTCCGAATTCAGGACCACGGCATGCACTTCGTCCGCTCCTGTATCAACAATCAAACCTACAACCTGCTGTGGAGCAAAGACCAGGTTTGACACTTCATCTTTAACAGCATAACTAACTCCTGTTCACATGACAGTCCTGGCTCCCAGCACAGCATGAGAAACCAAAATATGACTCACAGTACATTACTGTGTTTGTTTAAGTTTCTGAGGTTATGAAGTGTGTGTTGTCGTTTTCAGCTGACCATGATGAAGAAGAAAGAACAGATGCTCCAGGAGTTTGAGGAAGGGCCTCTGGACTTTCAACCCACATACAAGTTTGACTTAAACTCTGATACCTATGACAGCAGGTAACTGTTTCCAAGTAGCAATCATCATCATAATCAATCCTAAGTAATCGTAATCATACTTTTCATTTCCAGTTCTTGCCTCTTAAAGTACGAAATTTCTATATATTTCCAACTTCACAGGCTCTACAGGACATGGTTTGGCTTTAAGTAAGAGTTTAAAACACATTTGTGTCCGCATCTCCCTTTTAATATGTCATGTCACCCCTTTTTTAATCAACCTAGCTGCACTTCAGTATGTACATACATGCTACTTTTAACAAGATGCTAAAAGTAGCATCCACTCTTTTATGCAGTATAGTAACAATTCAGACCGAATCAGGCGCTGTGGCAAAAACACCCCTCATCCCATTCATGGTCAATGGTTGTAGTGCATTTATGCTGGGCGGTAGGGGCCACAGGGGTGCCAAAAATGAAGCGACCTGCGGAAGAGAAGTTGAAACAGGATCAGCTTTTGGAAAACACATGTCACACTGCGGTGGCCAATCAGACCGGTCATCTGCTCCAACGGTCAGTCTGGAATATCACTGACATCCAGATGGAGTTCATGGACCAAACAATGGTGCTTTCCCAGTTGTGCTCTCGCTCGGTTTTTTGTGTGTCCCGGCTTCGACGTCTGTGTCTGCCTATACTGCAAAATAGCAATAGCAAGAAGCTCCTTTTGGTTTGTATCAGTTTATTCGAGAGAGAGAGAGACTGAGTGAGGAGAGGGAGCACCAATAGCACAAATAAACACGCCCACGCCCAAACACTCCCAACATTCCAGCCTGATTTTGTCTGAAACACTTCTTACCACGTTACCAGATTATCTTCATCTGTAACCTACTGCAAATTAAACAAACAAGCAGGTGGGACTGACAGTCTTTTCAAGACAAATATCTGATTGTCTGAGCAAAGAAAAGACTGAAATGCTTGTTTATTTAACATATTGTCTGAGCTCACATACCTGTTGTTTTGGGAACCAATACTGTTGCTGTTAAAGGTACCCTGTGGAGCTTTTGACCATGAGCGCTACTGTGGACCAATGTTTTTATGAGTAGATCCCCACATTCAACACATTCATATGAGTAAATACTAAATGTAAATATAACTGTTGACAAAAAACTTCACAGCGTACCTTTTATCTAACGGCAAAGTATCAGTAGTCAATATTAACCTGCATTTAACCTGCACTGTGTAATACCATCCTACTGGGCTCAGAGCTTGTTTATATAAAAGCCAGTGTGTAAACCTCTCTGGGTCCCACAACAGCTGCTACATAACAGCTAACATGCATGGCCAGAAATAGATGTTTTGGTAATACAGATGGATAATTCAATATGTGTGTGTTGGATTATATCTAGATACCACCCAGCTGACAACATCTACTCTATGACTGTACAAATCTGCAATGAAGTTTACTTTATTTGATCATTACATTTTACAGTGTTCTAAATGCTAGATGTAAAGGAAGTAATGTGTTAGTCACCACTGAAAATGTGGGGGGAAGTTTGATATTACAACCTGCTTCAACCCTCTGCTACCAGAAGCCATGATGGCTAACAGGTGGTCTCTGTAATGGAACATTAGAGATGGTTGAAGAAGAGGGCAAACAACAGAGACACATTTCAAGATTTGTTTCCACCTATGAGGGACAGTTTGAGTGAAAAACATTGAGGCAGTTCACGTTTTTTCCACCATTGCAAGCTGCAGTTACACCACTAGGTGCTGCTAAAAATCCTTCACACTGGTCATGCATTTTAAGACATCATTTGAAAGAATGTCTTTATGAATCTTTAGGGATATCTCAAATATTTAATTCCATGGCACAAAGTAGCAGCTTATAGGATGGAATGTAATACTTTTATATTTACATGAACAAACTGACTTTTACCTGTTGTACTGGATGTATTTACAGGTGCACTGAGGCCAACAACACTTGCAGTTGCAATTACAATTTGTGACACATTGTCTGATATTTTATTATAGATTATTGCAATGAACCTGCAGTTTATGGTACATTTAGTTGAACTTGCAACTCCTGAATGTATGGCAGAGTGGTCGGACAGTAGCCTGGTTCCAAACCTCTAAATCACTGCAAAGACAATAACTGCAAAAGTAGCAGGTAGCTAGGGTGGATGAAATTGATGCAGCTCAACAGCTGGAATATTTTGTTAGAGTTTACTGCTTCTAGGAACCTTCCGTGTTGGCTCAAAAGTGAAGTAAAACAAAATGACAGTTTAGTCTGATTATGAGGTAGTCAGAGGGCTGCTGCTACTAAAACGTGTATGTAATGACGGGTGCCTGATGATTGCAGAAAGGCTTGTGAAAGGCATGAGCTGTAGTCAACGCTGCTGTGAAATAGATACTGTATCAATGTTCCTTCACATTTTTCTGTTTTTTCTCCAATTTTTTCCTTCATCACCCCACATGCACCTCACAAGATCCTTGATTTTTGTTATAAAGAGTTTGTCTCCTGACTAAAGTACGTCTCTCTCTCCTCTCTGTTCCATCGTCTGTTACCACCTGTCCAGCGGCAAGAAACGTAAACCCGCCTGGACAGACAGGATTCTGTGGCGGCTCCGACCCAAAGCCCCGCCCCCTGACGAGCAAGATGGACTGGATGCAAAGAAGGTCAGGCAGCTGGAAGAGGATGAGGAGTATCCTTTGAAGATCAGACAGGACTTGTACACCAGCAACATGGAGTACTGTGTCAGTGACCACAAGCCTGTCATCGGCATCTTCACACTGGAGGTGAGAAACAGTGACTGTGTGACACAGATACTGTTAACCACAGTTAATCTCTCTCTCTCTCTCTCTCTCTTCTTCTCTCTCTCTCTCTCTCTCTCTCTTCTCTCTCTCTCTCTCTCCTTCTCCTCCTCTCTCTCTTCTCTCTCTCTCCTCTCTCTTCTCTCTCTCACTGATTCCACAGGTGGGGAGATGAAGTCCGATCCAAACAGACGAGCACTTTTGCTCAAACTGCTGAAAACAGTTAATGCTGGTTCTGATTAAATAAATTTTAATGACCGGATCTGCCCTTTAAATACAAAAAGATCTGACATTTACATAATCATTTCCTTCAAAGCTAAGCTATCATTCATCATGTGTTTATTTCTCCATCCATCTAGCTGAGGAAGATGTACAGGACTCCTCTGGTGCGTCTGCAGGCAGAGGGAGACTGGAGCGCAGACATTGATGCCATGGTTCTCTACAGCCCTCTGCAGCCGTTCCCCTCCAGCACATGGGACTGGATCGGACTCTATAAGGTCGGACAAACAACAGCCGTTTACTGTTTTGCAATTGAAATGCATTTCAGTATGACAATCTTGAATGTGTGTGTGAAATTCAGGTTGGATTCGCCAGTGTGTCGGACTACATCACCTACACGTGGGTCAAAGACGACGAAGTGGCCTTCAATGAAGAAATCATACAGGTAGTAACTGGTGCACCAATGAGTTTGACACATCCAGAGAAAAACTCACATGATATAAATGTGTCTCTGTTTTTGTAGGTATATGTTGGTAAAGAGGAAATCCCAGTGCGGGGAGGAGAGTGTGTACTGTGCTACTACAGTAATACTCTGCAGTGCATCATTGGAATTAGTGAACCCTTCAAGGTCAGTACTAAGCACATACCATGATTAATCCACTCATAGACATTCATTTTCCCCTTGATGTGATTGAAATGGTCAGGTGTACTGGGTGTGTAAATAGGCACCAGTGTGATATGCTGGTCTCTCTTTTAGGTCCATGAGTCCAAGGTAGCCATTGAAGAAGGCTTGCTGCCTGAGAGGATCAACGGACTTGACAAAACCATAGCAAGTGACGACCTTTTCAAGTAATGGATCTGGAATCACCGATGTGGTATGATGTAGACATGGATCAGTTTGGGCCCAAATTGCCCGAACCACAACAGGGCTTTTAATTGCTGTGTTTCCTAACTTGCAACTGAAGCAGCAGATTAGGAAGCACTGTCTGTTCACGCTGTTTCACATCCTCACTGACCTCTCTAATGCTACCAGTGTGGCTATTAGTTTTTTACAACCGGTCTCTACATTCACATTTGCTCTTCATATGTTAACTTTAAGTCATGCAAAGCTAAAACTGTGAGCAATCCTTCATCAACTGACTTAAAAACATGTCCTCGGAATGGAAATTTAAATTGGCCTAAATTGAGCAAAGAAGTGCCAGCTTTATGTTTTGGCCTAAAGCATAATACATCTTAAAATGACCTACTATATTGTGTGAATATGATAAAAGGCTTTATATGTTATATGTTTGGTTAGTGAGGGATGGGAGGTAACAGGTTAGACATATTGATTGAACAGAAGGTGAAGTATGTTGTAGGATCTGAAACAGTACCTGCTGCTTTGTGCGATCAGTCGATAAAAGGAAGCTCTCCGTTTCAGGTTGTGTTAACGGATCTAAGTATTTGGGTCTTAGAGCTGCAGTGATGTGGCTGAATGAAAAGCTGGAATGCCGAATATTTTAAATTTGTTTAAAAGGGTGAAAACACCGTTCAAACTTCACCTGACTGCTATAATGATGAAAAGGGAACTGCGAAATTAGCAAAGCTCATTGGTCATGTTGTGTTTGCGTGAAAAACGAGCAAATCAATCTTCACTGCACCAAATATGAGATTTGGTATCCTTGAAGCCATTCTGTGGATATATACGACTAACTTGCTTGCTCATGGTGGAGCAGGAACTTAGACAGGAAATGCCTTCAGTTCATATTAAGCTATATTTTCCATTTGTCATTTCCATCTGACATAAAGCTTTGAAGCAAAAAACGTGCTCCTTTCTTTAAGAGACAATAGTCAGCCAACCCATGTCAACTAAAACTCTGTTGACGTTTGTACGACCACTAAAGATACAGTGGCTCAGTCACAGCTCTGACAGAAATAACACTGTCCTAACTCTAACTTGAACTGTAAGCTGCAAGTAACCAGAGCATGGTAAGTGAAGAGGATAAAGGATAAAATGGGGGCAAAAAACAGTTTTTCTACAACACATTTGTATTATGCAGTTTTTGGAGAAATGTTCTGGGCATTTTATGCTGTATTTTGCAGAGTGTTCAAATTTGGCCCAATTTTCAGTAGTTTTAATAGTAGTTGAATAGTTACTTTGTGTGTTTGGTGGTCCTACAGACATGGGGGGTAAAGTAAGATTATGACAAATTGAAACTCTTTCAAACTCTAACTGTTGCTTTAACAACAGAAGATAATCTGACTCTGTCCTTCTTCCTCTCCTCTTCCTTATTCTCATTCATACGGGACTGATCTTAATCTGTGTACTGTCCCTAAAGCATTGCTGTAGGATGTAAGATGGATCTATTTGTGGTTTTAAATGTTTTGTATTTTAATGAAAATATTCATAGACGTCACAGAATATATCACTTAGTGTTGTCAATGGACTGCTGTAGGAAGAGTTTGCATTTAGATTTTCTGCTGACAGTATTTTCATATACTTACGTTGTTCCTGGATACTTGAAAACATAGCTATATGATATAACTTTGACTTTTGTGTGGAGCAGATTACTTGTGGCTTTGCTATCTCATTAGCCCACTAGCACCTTGCAGTTAAAACAAAATATATATGAACCATTCCCTTTTATTACTGATTGTGATTTCACAGCAAAATAGAGAATATAAAGATATATGTGCACTGTTTATTGATAATTCATAAGTATTTATAGTTTGTCATGTTGTTATTAGTGTGTATTGAGAAAATCTTTTGTTGTTTTTGTTTAAACAATATGGATTCAGCAAGTGCCTCTGAAATGCTTGTTGCTTTACATTTAGTGTACTGTATTATGCTGCTCAGTTGTGATATCATATGTATCATTAATATTCATCCGATTATTTATCGTAACAAAGCCTCTTCTTGTTCATATTGATTTGAAATATTACTGTTCTAAACTTTCACCTACATAAAGATCTGAATGCTATTGGCTTGCTGGAATCAATTATATCAGCCAATTTATATCACTTTTTTTTTTAAACTCAAAAGTGACTTATTTTCTCAAATAACAATGAAATGTAATGTACTGTAACATAATACCAACAGATTTATAGCTTTGCAAATGCAAATATTAAAAAAAAGTCTCACTTCATTGTTGGTGTGGTTTATTGAGTGTGTTCTCATTCTAACAGTATACAGTTTAGCATTAGTCGTGAGGAGGAGAATAGCTGGCTGAGGGTGAGTCAGCAGTAACTGGATACAATGACTTTAAATGGGATATCGTCAGTCAGTGATTGACGGCAGCTCCAGAAAATAATGACCGCATCCGCGTATGACGTGTCAGCCGTTGCCACAGTAACCGTTTGTTTTGTTACATTTTAAGTGCAGCGAGATGCAGAGGACGTCAACAGTGACAGCTAACTAGCTACATTTGGGGCTTTAAACCCGTACGGAACAAGGTATGGTCGAAGACAGTACTTGTTATTTAGCTATAACGGATATTTGTGGGTAACGTTACAACGCGAGGGACAAACAGCTCAGTCTCTCAGGTCAGCTCAAACCAATACACTCAGGTAGCTAACGTTAACAGCTAACTACGTTAAGTTAGCTTTGGCTCTAGTTAACTTCTAATACATTAGTTAGCAAGTCTCCTAACAAGCGCAGGTGCTTCAGGTATACTAAGCCAACAGTTTCTCAGTGCTGTCCAAGACTTGTTCCATTCAGCAAACCCCTGCACAGGACGGGTCAGCCTGTATAGCGGTAGTCTAATAAGCTTTTCCCTTTGGTTTTGACGTGGTTTCAGTTCTCCTTCAGCACAAAGCTGCCACATTTCTTCTGCCTACCTGCCTGCACTCTCAGAGGGACCACCAGTGGAGAACCATGTCTGCCCCAGGTCGCAATCCCCAGCTGGGTGGTGGACCCAACTTAGTGAACATTGAGGTTATGAGGAACCACTCTGAGCTCTTCAGAGCCGAATGTATGAGGCTGATCTCTGAAGCTGACAAAAGCTGCAAACGCTTGCAAAACAATGATAACAAGCAACTAGGTAAGTAGGAGAACACAAAATATCAGCCTGTGTTAATTACAAAAGATGATGTTGCAAAGACTGCAGAGGTGTTTCTTCTGTTTTCTTCTGCTGTTCAGATCAGCGGGTCAGAGACATCCAGTTTCTGAAGAAGGAGTTGGAGCTGAAGTTGGAGGAGATCATTTTGGATATTGATGTCCTCATAGCGTTGCAGAGCAGAGTGGAGAAAGCCCTGGAGGCCTGCAAAGACCCTCTGAGAGTCACCGTCCTGTGTCTGGAGGAGAGGTTAGGCTGGGACATGATGATTTTGAACAGTCAGGAAAAATGCATTATATTCGCTATTTTACGTTTGAAACTTCTCTGTTAGATGAATCTAAACTTTCAACACCATCTTCTCTTACTGTGAAGCATACATATAAAACTATAAAGGAAAAAACTAAACACTTTAAAAGTGAGAAATTCCTGCCTCCCTCTAAAAGTTGAAAGCATTTATGTGACATCCATCATCCATTTTCAGATCCAAATGATCTTTGAAAAGCATTGTTGGACGCAGGTTGAATTAGAGCTATTTTGTGTTTATTTATGTGAAAGGTGCTCATTTTGTTCTCTGGCCTGCAGAATGAAACGTCTCCCTTCTGAGAGGCTGCATGACGAGGTGGACAGAGAGCTGCTGAAGGAGAGGGATGCTATCGAGGGAGTGGCTTCCCTTCTGCAGCGTGTAATAGAGCAGGTCACTGAGCAGATACGGTAAGGGACACAGAGCTTTTGGATTCTCTAATGTTTGCTGTCTTCAAACCTGGAAGGAAAATCAAATCGCCGGATACAGCTGCCAGTAAATACTAAGAGAAAACATGTTGCCTTGTGTTCCAGATTAAACCGATCAGCCAAGTACCAGCTAGAGAAGGATCTGAAGGAGAAATATGAGGCTCAGTGCATCGACAACTTCTGTGCCTCGATGACCACCCATTCCATCGAGAACCTGCAGCAGTCCAAAAACACCAAAACTGTTCTGCCGAGGTGAGCGAGCGCGTTCTTGTTAGCTCCATGAAGACAGGATTTGAAGTCATTGCCAGTGCGTATGCTTAGATGGGCTCCGACATATTCTCTTTAGAATAGTGTTAGTTCAAGGTCCTCACAAGTTTTTTTAATTTTCTATAAATGTTTTTTTTTATTTTTTATCACCTCCTACTCTCTCAGCTTGACAGTGACTCCAAAGCAGTGGGAGAACATCTCGGACATCAACATAGCCAAAGCAGAGCAGCAGAAGAACAACTCTCTGTCCCTGCGGGCCCTGGTGGAGGCTCTCCTGGAGCAGACGTCCACTGACATGCAGAAGCAGTTTCAGGCCACAACAGCAGCCTTTCAGCAGAACGTCCAGGAGATCAAGTCTGCCAAGAGCCAGATGGAGGATCAGCTGGCCAAGGTAGGGCAGACGTGAAGAGAAACAAAGTCGGGCAGTGGGAGGCAGATGTAGTAAAAGCGAGAGAGAAGATTTGGTTTGATTTATTGAAGTCTAAAATCTGAATACTTGCTGGCCACAGATGATACTTTCATTAAGGATGAACAGTGTAATAATGGGATTAATGTTCTCTTAATGGACTATTTGATCACACTGGAGTAGATAATAATATTGCTTTAATAGCATGTGGTTTAAATGCTGTTTAAGAGGCATTTCCACTGCCAAGAGACAATGAATACTTAGAAGAGGAAGACTGCCTCTGACTGTGGGTGTAACTAATAACTAAGATCAAACAATCACACATCCAATCACAAAAAATCACCAATTGCAAACCCAAATCACAAAAAAACATTTATTCCTTGTGGTATTGTATCCAGTCGTGGTGTTTTCTGCCACTATTTTGTTGTTAGAAAGAAGTTCTAAAGAAATCTGTCGACAAGGTGTGTGGATTATCTGTAGTTACTGTTTTGTTTTTTTCATTAATGTTGTTTTAAAAAAAATAAAATATACTTTTTCGCAGAAATAAAAAACAAGAAATGAGAAAAAGAAATAAATGTATTAAAAGAGAAATTATACAGGTGAGTGAATAATAAAGAGTGAGTGGATTCATAATAGCTTAGATTAGAGCAGTGGTTCCAAACTTGCAGGTCGGGACCCCCACTAGGGGTCGCCAAAGCTTCACAGGGGTCGTGAAGACTTCTTGATTTTCAGGCATGTAAGAAAACTTGAAAAATATACACGGTAGGCCCTATGTGTCAGCAATGAGTTCACTTCTGTGAAGAAAAGTAAACGTAAAGTAAATTGTCTAAGAACAATGGCCAAGTGCCAGGGACATGAAAATACTGAATTGGCCAAAAAATAAGCCGATTAAGTCTGTATGATTGTTATATTATAAAAATACACTCTCTTATCACTATTTACAGGAAATAATCTGCTCAAAATTCATCCAAATCACTTGTTTTACACAAAACTGTTGTAGTTATTGAGTTCACTGTTTGGGCTCATTGTACAGTTTTCAATATAATATCAAATATCCATAAATGATGTCACAAAGTCAGGGGCCGTCAGTTTTAAAAGGGGTCCCCTTAAGGAAAAAGGTTGGGAACTACTGGCTTAGAGTTGCATGATAACCGAAAGAATCTACAGGGATATATGAATATGTACAATGTTCAGGGATTACTCCCAATATTGCAGTCTTGGGATTCTTTTGCAAGGAAACCTTTAAACTTCAGTCATCAAGTCAAGTTCATCATCCTCGGACAAAAAACTTGTAAATATCTGTTGCTAATTTTCAAGTAATAGTTATATATTTTTATATATTTCATTCTCAGATCAGCATTTATTTTGAACACGTACAGAACTGTTTAGTGCTGATTTAATGTTCCTGCTCATTTACTATTTAGTGAAAATACAGACTGACCCTGGTGTGTCACCTCTGTCCCCTCCAGATTCTATTAGAGTTTGCCAGCCAGCAGAGGATCGGAGGGGATCTCCAAGTGGCAGTCACAGAGAATGAACATGCTCTGGGTTTGGCCCAGGCCCGGCTAGCTTTGCGCCGCCAGCGGCCCGCCAAAGAGCAATGCCACGATCCAGCACAGTCCCGGCTCCTGGCCGAGGTCCAGCAGCTCGCCTTTCAAATCAGCAAGTAAGGCCAGGATACACTCGCTACTGATGTGAGGGGACAGGGCAACAAATGTTTATCCGTAGGAAGGTCGTGGGGGGCTGAGTCCATCCCAGCAGACATTTCATGTTCTTTTTTTTATTTTTATGAAAAACAATGTATGAAACAATAGAAATGCACATAAAATACCTACAAACAGCTGGTTTACAGGGACTGTGTGTAGATTTTCTGTTTTTTACCACAGTTCTTCCAATGTTGGCTAATGTATTGTTAAATATATTACACAACCATTTGGCATCATGTGACATCTCTTTATCTCTGTACTGTCAGACTGCGTGAGGCACTGGCCCAGTCAGAGAAGGAGCAGAGGGCTCTGGTTCGCTGCCAGCTGGAGCTGCAGAAAAACATTGAGATCAAGGCCAACTCTCTCTACATTGACGAGGTCATCTGCGCCCAGCACAGGGAGTCCATTATCATACATAACTTCTGAACAGTCAGCAACTGCAGGGGTCTACATAGTATTTCTTTCAAAATACACCTATATAAAATTCACTTCAAAATATTATGTGTAGTACTAGTTCTCTTTCACATGGTCAAAGTTTCAAATAGTGTTTTCTTCACTTCACTCTAAGGTCTTAAGTGTGAGAGCTGTATGAAACTGTGAGCGATGGTAATACTGTGTATGTTACACTGAGCTACTCACGAAAGGCTTAAATTTACTTAATATACAAAAGCTTTCATTTTTATTCTAAAATGAGCTGTGGTAGAATTGATTATTTATCTTTGTTGTTCCATTAAAGCTGCAGTAGGTAACTTATAAAAAATACTTTTTGTACTATTTGCTGAAACTTTGACTGTATCCTGACAGTAGGACTTGAGACAGATAATCTGTGAAACAATCTTCCTCAACCAGTGAAAAGATGACCAGGAGAACCAGCTGTTGTCTTCACTGAGTGGAGTTTTACAAGCCACTTAATTAAAATGGGTTGCACCACACAAACTATGTAGAGATTAGCTATTACTAATAATACACCTAATAATTAGCTATAAATAATGATATAATTAATTACATTACTGTTCCGCAGCAAACTGAACCAACCAACAAAACTAATACGAGCTTGTTCATTATTGTTTTAATTATTTTTATTCATTATTATTCTAGTTTACCTAGACTCAAGAGTAACAGACCTGACACTTCTTTTTTTTTTTTATTAACATTTTATTGATTCCATTCAGCATTCTTCCATTAGCATTTAACATCTCACACATATTTTCCATGTATACAGAGCATACAAATACTTCACAACAGGGATCAAACACATAAATATACAAAAATTCACAATTAAACAAAAAACTCAGTAGACTCGAAATGAGTAAATTTTTCACTACAATCCACATTTTCATTTCCCTCTTGTAAAACCTCTCTCACCTGGTGAAGGATAATGCCGAACACAATCTTATGAACATTGAACAGTCAAAATTTGTAGCAAGAACCAAGGGGATCCATAAGATACATTGTTTTTACCAAATAAAGTCTGTTCTCAATGGTGTAACAAAATCAACCCAGCTATTCCAGAAATTCTTAAATTTATCTGATTCTAGTCTAACTAGGAAAGTCAACTTTTCCATCCTGTAAATGTTATGCATTACTTCGACCCAATCCTCCATTTTAGGTACCTCCGTTTTCAGCCACTTCCTG